CGGCCAGTTCACACACAGCTCTGCCCCCGGGCTTGTCGGGAGAGCGTGGCTCAGGCGGGCAGCTGCTTCCCGCCCTGCACCTGTCCAGGGCGCCCCTCCTCCCTGTGGGTGCAGCGGTGGGACTCAGGGCCCACGGTCACAGCAGGGACTCTGCCTGCCCCGTGAGCTGGTCACAGGGGCCAGCAGCGGCCCCCTGCTGTCAAGGAGCCGCTGGCAGCACGCCGGCCCGCTCAGGACCCAGGGGAAGCTGCTTGCGAAGGACCCCGGGGGCAGAGATGAGCGCTGGGCCCTGAGGAGCTGCCGCGCCTTGGCAAGGTGGGTGGGTGGAGAGGGTTCCACAGGCCCCGGGCGAGGCCCAGCAGGACGGCTCTCCCTGAGCTGCCCTTGGGGGCCAAGCCAGTAAAACCAGCCGGGTGGAGCTGGAACCTGTCCTGCCGCCGGGCTCCGCCCGGGCCCCCCGCGGCGACCCCCGCCAGCAGCTCACTCCCTGGCCGCCAGCCCCTGTGGGTGGGGTGCAGGCCCGCCCAGGGCGGGAGGGTGCGGAGGGGCCCCGGGGGCGTGGGGCGGGACAAGGGGGCTGCCAAAAGCCACAGAGCGGTTTCCTCCGAAGAGGCAGAGGGGGCTGCCCAGACTTCCCCAGCCCACAGCTGCCCCCCAGGGGACAGCGGAGGGGTGGGACGGGGTCCCTGCCAAGGAAGGACAGCCGCCGAGGCGCTGGCCACTTCGGGAAGTGAGGAGAGGCCACAACTATGTGTCCCACTGCCAAGCTTCCAAGCGGTGGCAGCCGCCCCTGCCCCATGTGGGAGGCATCCAGCTGAGGGGCAGGGAACAGCTCAGCCTTGACCCACGTGCCTGCTGAGCACAGACCTGGGACACTGGACACTGGCCGGGAGGAGCCCCTGCCGCCGCGCGGCCCACCCCACCTACCCGCTCCGCGCGATGTCCTATTAAGGACATGACCGCGGGGGCTGCGCCGAGAGCGCTGGCCTCTTCCCGAAGCGCCGGGGCTGCGGGGATGAGCGAGGCGGGTGAGGGGCTGGGCTCCGTCTGGGCCGCGATGGGGACAGTCTGTGCGGACAAGGTGTCAGAGGCCAGGCTGTCAGACTGGAGGACCTGCCAGGGCCGGCGGCGTCCTACCTTTGTACCTCTCCCGCACCTCCTCGTAGGCCTGGATGAAGTCCTGCTCGTCGGGTGGCGGGCCGAGCGGCAGCAGGGCGGCCATGCCGGCGGGCGCGGGACGCGGCGGGGGCGCTGCGGCGCAGAGGGAGCCTCCAGCCCCGGGCGGCCACTCTGTCCCTGTGGCCGCGAGCGCCACTTAAAGGAGCCGCCCCCGCCCCGCCCCGCACCCAGGATGCCCCACGGGAGGGGCGGGGCGGGGCCAGAGCCGGGCCGGGCCCCGGGGAGCTTCGGCTGCACGTCCGGGCGCGTCCCGTTGGCTCTGCTGGAGCGGGCTCCACGGGCCGCGCGTCTCGGACCACTGCGCGCGCCCGCGAGCGCACACTGTGTCCCGCTCCGGAACGGGTCGCGGGCGCCAACAGCCTGGATTCTTCTCGCCCAGCTCCCAGCTCCGCAGCAGCCCCCTCCCTCGCCAGCCCCGACCTTCTCCGGTGACCCTGCCGGATCCAGCGACCTCACCTGGCCGCCCGGGTCGCGCCCCTCCCGTCTCCCTCCTCTCCAGGACGCTTCCCTTGCAACCTGAGAGCCAGAGTTGGTATTATCAACACAAAAAGGGCTCTTAAAATAAAAAGAAGAGAATTTATGTACTATAACAGGACTGAAGCAGGGACTTTTCAGAAGAAATAAAATGCTGGTACCAATAAAAGCCATTCTTTAAGGGGACGAAATGGTAATGGGAAAAAATATATATTATAAAGATCACATAAAAAGCAAAACCAAACCAAACAAACCCATTCTTTTCCACCCATCACATCGGCAGAGACCCTCCTCTTGGCCCTGACCAACGTCCTCCTTTGCAGAGGCCCCGCACGTCCTCTCTGGCCTTGAGCGCGGCACCCCCGTGGCCGGGAGCCCTCGCCCGGCGCCGGCGCTGACCATGCACAGAGGCCCGGCCTGGGCCGGCGGCCGCACCGCTCAGAGCCCACTGCGGGGCAGGGTTTCACTGAGGAAGGTCAGGGTACGGGAGGGCATCCCGGCTGCTTTCATGTAGGGAGAAAGGGCCTCTTTTAAAGCCCGCATGCGACACGCAAAAATTTTAGACTGTCCGGCGATGGGTCCCATCCGCCCGGCCCGGCGGGGCGGGGGTGGGGGGGTGGCAAGCCTTCTCCCTGTCCTGCTGCCCTGCTCCTCCGTGTGTCCACCCACCACGTCCCTCGCTGCCCACAACACCGCCCTCGCTCGACGGCCGGCAGGCCTGCCTCTCCCCACGTGCCTTGGGCCGCCCTCCCGGCCTCCTCGGGGGCCAGCCCTGCCCCCCAGACGCCAGACCAACATCCGTGCCCCGTGGCACTGGGGTCAGCACTCGGCCTGAGCACAGAGACCCTCGACGGGCTCCCCCCTTGCCCGGTACATGCTGCGGTGGCTTCCAGCCCCAGGTCACCCGCTTTGCAAAGGGACGCCGCTGCCCAGCTGCCAGCCCTGCACTGCGGGAGGCCTCTCCCCGGCCCTCCCGTTCTCCTCCCCAGAAAGGCAGCGACTGGAGAGCAAGGCCCGCGCTGGCTCAGGGAGGGGCTGGGGCTCTCACCAAGCCGGTGTGCCCCCTGCCCTGCTCCTAGGTGCTTCCACCGCGCCCCATGGTGGCAGCCAAGACCAGGGGGCCTGGAGGGCAGCTCTGCCCAGAAGACCAAGAAAGCAGCACAGTGGCATTTGGGCACCGGACCCCTTCATGAGGCCACGGACGGTGCGGCCACAGCCGGGCCACCGCAGGCCTCCTGCAGCAGGCGGAGGGGCGCCAGCAGGTGGCGCTGTGCTGCCTGCCGCCACCGGGCTCGGGAGGGCCCTCTCTGACCCGCAGCTGTCTCACCTCTCCTCCCAGGCCCACACCTGCAGGGAGCGCACAGCAGCGGCCGGTCAGCGGTCAGCCGGCCGGTCAGCCCGCCGGTGCTTGCAAAAGGAAAGGCGAGGCCCTTCGGCACTACCTGCAATTCGGATGACCGCCCGCTCAGCAGGGTCCAAGACACCGCCATTGCCGCCAGAGCTGCCTCCACTCCTCCGGCTCCGCTGCGTCTTCCCCAGGTTCCAGGGCAGGGTGTCCCCCGGGCTGGGCGAGCTGCTGCTTCCATTGGAGCCGTCCTCTGCCACCGCCCGCACCTCGTGGTCCTCACCCGACATGGCTTCCTGGAGAGGGAGCGGGAGGGGTCACACCTCGGGGGCGCTGCACACCGACGCGCCATTCTCAACCTGGACGCTGGCCCCACCCATCCAGCTGTCGGCGGAACGCTGACGCCCACCTGCCTCCGGAGTCCCACCTCGTGCACGTACGGACCACCCATCCTCTGCGCCCAGACGTGGGAGACCCTCGCCCACCGTCCGAGTTGGCCTCACCCTCTCCCGATCATCCCTCGGACACCACGCAGTGACAGCCCCCCCAGCGCTGGCCCCACTCCCCCCAGCCTGCTACCGGGACATGGACCCCCCCATTGTCGCCCCTCCCTTCTGTTAGTCACCCAAACACTGGGCCCTCTATGCGCTCACCCGTGGGCTCACTTTAGCAGAGGACGCTGACCCCACCCTCCACCCCCACTCCCCCAACCTGGACCCTGCCTCTTCTAACCCTCTGACCACCAGGAAAGCCACGCCGTCGGGAAGCACTGGCGCCGCCCGCCCCTCCGGGACCCTAACCCCATCCCCGGGACAATGGCGTTGCACCTACCAGCGGTCTCAGCCGCCAGGCCTCCCAGGGCCCCGCCTCACCCCGAGCCCCGCACCGTCCCACCGTGGTCTCCGCAGCGCACGCCTATAAATAGCTGGAGCCGCAGTGCCGTGGGCCGCAGGAGCTCGCTGCGGCAAGGCGGGGAGCCCGGGCGGCCGCTCCAGCAGCCCACTCCGGGTGCGCGCACACCCGCACCGCCGGCGCTGCCAGAGCGCACGCACACCCACTCGTGCACACTCCTCAGCTCCCCATCCCCGGGAGCGCTGGCGTGCGGGAGGTGAATGGGGCTCTGTCCCGGCGGGGGTGGGGTGGCGGGGGCACAATGTGGGCTCTGTGCCTCGGCCCGCAGGCTAAGGGCTGGGGAGGAGGCAGGGGGCACTGACCTAGGGGGCACTGACCTGGGGGCCACTCCGCCCCGCCTGCCACGGCCTCCCCCAACGGCCGCCCGTGCTTCGACCCCCCGCGGCCAGCCGAGCCTCCCCAACAATCTTTCCTGCCCACACCCCGGGCACCGCCCGACCAGTTCCGCAGTCTCCAGCGCTCAGAGGTGGTGTCCTCCGGAGGGAGGATGGGCCGCGACGCAGTCCCGAGTTCCGGAGCGCCTGCGGACGGAGGGCTCCCTGCCCACCCCGAAGCTCCCGCACGCTGCGCGCCTCTCCAGCCGGGTCCCGGTCATACGTGCCTGGTGGCTCAGCTCGGCTAGGCTCGGCCGCCGCAGCCAGACTGCTTGGACCCGGAGAAGCGCGGAGGCGACGCAGGCGGGGCGAGCCCGGAGCCCCGCCCCGGCTCCAAACCGAGCGCCGCCCGTACAGTCCGGCGCCCGAGTGCGTGCGGGGCCAGGGGCTCACGGAGGTGGCGGGGCTGGAGCGCTATTGTGGCTCGACCTCAGCGCTCCCACCAAGCACAGCCCTATCGCCAAGCACGCACAGCCACCCACCCCACCCCACCCCCCCGCGCATTCAGGGCGGGTCGGTCGGCCAGGATACGTTGTTGGGGACGCGTGCATGACACTAAGGCGACGTGGGGTCGCTCGGGTGCGCGCTGGGTCGGGCCTTGGCGGGTGGCCCAGGACCGCCCCAAAGGAGCAGCGGGGTCTGCCCCTCGGCCCCTGCCGCTAGCCACGCCGAGGTCCCTCCCGCCGCGCAACAGAGGTCGGACTCGGAGCTCCAGCTGGTCCCTCCGCCCGGTTTCTCGTTTATTCAAATAACAGAGCCGCGCTCGGTCAAAGTCCAGCCTCGGCGGGCGGGGTCGGGCCGTCCGCCCTCCTCCTGGGCTCTGCTGACCCCTGGTGGTTGGGCCGGCCCCGGAGGGGACCGCGCCCGAGCTTCTTCGCACTGACGGTGCCCGCGTCGCCGCAGGAGGCAGGAGCCGATGTGGCGGAGGGATCTGTAAGGCTGCGGTGGAGCTGGGGCCCGGGGAGCAGGAGGCCCGAGACCAGGCCGAGCGGAACCCTTCGGGTTAGGTGGCCGCGGGGTTGGCCAAAGACCCAGAGGGGTCCCCGGGGGAAGGCTGGGGCATATGCTCGCACGTGATGAGGTGGGTGGGCAGCGCCTGGGTGTCATGAAAAATGACGAAGATGCTAGGCTGGCGGAGGCAGTCCACGGCGCTGTCGTAGCGCGGGAGCCCGTGGCCCGGGGCCCGCAGAGGGGGCGCCCGCAGCTCGCGGTGTCCCAGTCCGTAGTCGCCGGTCAGCACCCGCGCCACGAACACTGCCTTGTGGCCGTCGGCATTGGGGGGCGAGTAGCGGTTCTGCACCGACAGGGAGGCGCGTTTAGCGAAGTACACGCCCTTTCCGTAGAGTGTGCCTGTGGGCGGGACGGGCGGGGGTCAGGGTCCCCGTGGGCGGCAGCTCCCCCGCCCCTGCCAGACCCAGGCCTCACCGTTGCGGCCGCAGAAACTGCGATTGAAGCCGTACGCGCAGATGTCTGCGACGGCGGGCGCCGACGTGCCGTGGTACAGAACGTGCTCGACCGGGCGCCGCGCGCAGCGCTGCTCCAGGCGTTCTCGGTGCAGCTCGTACTGCTGCTCCAGCAGCGGATGCGACACGCGTTCCACCTGCCAGGCGATGAGAGGGCACTGTGGACGCGCGCGCCCCCGCCCAAGCTTCTGGGCCCACAGGACGGGGCGGAGCCCGGAAATCAAGAGCCCCGTGTAGGAGGTCGGGGTCCGGAGAGGCCGTACAGGTTCAGTCGTGCTCTGTCCAGCAGTAGACCCTGGGCGGACATTCGCTACCGGGAAGGGGCTCCTAGTGGCACGCGAGGGCCTCCAGGGAGGCCTGCAGGTGAGCACACCCAACCTCTCACCGGAGCGTGGCGGCCACAGCCAGGCCTCCGTAGAGAAAAGCTGAGGCGGGTGCCCACGCCGCCCGCAGGGCTGCACTCCCAGCGCCCCCAGTGCGGCGAAGTGCAGGCGGCCAGCCTGTCGGCCGCGGGCCCGCGTCAAGGACCCGCATGGAGTTCTAAGGAAATTCTAACTGTGCAGAGGGATGCGGAAGGATGTCACATCCATAAAACAAGTCGAGCTAATGTGAAAAAGAAATACTCCAAAAATCAGCGATTTCTTACCTTAAAAATAGAATTGATGAACAACTAATTGAAAAATACATTGGAAAAAAATGTCCACACCTCCACACCAGGAAGACAGACAATACAATTAAAAAATGGGCAAAGGACCTGAATAGACAGCTCTCCAAGGAGGACACACACAGGGCCCAGCGACCTATGAAAGGATGCTCAGCATCACTAGCCATGAGAGAAAGGCAAATTAAAACCACAACGAGATGCCACTTCACACCCGTCAGAATGGCTGTTGTAGACAAATGGACAAACAGCTGGCGCTGGCAGGTTGTGGAGAAGAGGGAGCCCTCGTGCCCTGCGGGTGGGAACGCAGGCTGGGGCAGCCGCTGTGGGAAACAGGATGGGACTTCCTCCAAAAGCTAAAAATGGAACTGTCTTTCGACCTGGCAGTTCCACTGCCGGGACTATACCCTAAGAATCTCAAAACACCAACTCAAAAGAACCCGTGCACCCCAGTGTTCACAGCAGCACTACTGACAGTAGCCAAGTGCTAGGCTGTTTACTAAGTGCCGTCAGTACCAGCGGATCCGAAAACTGTGGCATATTTACCCAGCGGAAGACTACGCAGCGGAGAGGGAAGGAGCCCCTACCCTTCACAGCAGCGCGGATGGAGCTGGAGGGCATGTGCTGAGTGAAGTAAGCCGGCGGGGGAAAGACAAAGACCATACGATCTCACCTGGAAGTGGAACCTAATCAACAAAACAAACCATACATCTCACCTGGAAGTGGAACCTCATCAACAAAGCAAACAAGCGAGCAAACTAGAACCAGAGACACGGAAATAACAAACTGACAGTGACCAGGGGGGAGGGGGGAGGGGGGATAACAGGGGGAAAGAAGGGGAAGGGTCAAGTCGAGAAACACACGTAAAGCGTCCACGGACAAGGACAATGGTGGGGGGGGGGTTGAATGTGGGGGGTGGGTAGGGCAGGGGAGAGTAAAGGGGGACAAATGGGGACAACTATAATTCAACAAAAATTAAAACTTTTTTTACGAATGAAATTGCTGAATGAAATCGAGCAGGCAGGCCGAACAATAAGACCGTGGAGATGGCGTTCAGGCGTGACCCGGAGTGCAGAGCTAAGGAGACGAGAGGGAGCCCCGGCGGGTGCAGCTCAGAGGCCGGGGCGCCGGCCTGGGAACTGAAGGGCCATCGGTTCGATCCCCAGTCGGGGCGCAGGCCTGGGTTGCGGGCCAGGTCCCCAGTGCGGGGCACATGAGAGGCAGCCACACACGGATGTTTCTCTCCCTCTCTTTCTCCCTTCCCCTCTCTAAAAAAATAAAATAAAATCTTTACAAAAAAAGAAAAGAGATGGAGACTGAGAGGAGGGCTAAGGTCCATGTGACGGGAACTCCCCAAGAGCAGGAGAGAAGGGGACAGGAGCAAGAGAGGGGACTAATGGAAAACAGTTTCCCTGAGCCAACGGGGCATCTCCAGGTGGAAAGGACCCATGAGATGACAAGGACAGGGGGGAATGACACGGCCCTGGCACCTCCCTGCCAGAAAACATCAACTTTCAAAGCAAGAGACTGCTAATGTCCACTGACACACCAACATCAACACCGAAATGGAAACAAGTCTCACACTCTCACACTGGGCTATCGAGGCCAGTACTGGGTGCAAGATCATAGATTTTTTTTTTAAACTTTCCAAGAGCAAAATTTTTTAAAGAGAAAAGAGTAATATCTTTCAGAAATCTGGAGGAAGACATATTTTGATCCTGAATACTATATGCAGCCAAACTATTAACGGTGAGGACAAAACCAGGACACATTAAGATAGGCAAGAACCAGACCTCAGTGGGTTGCACACCAGCGTGTGAACCAAAGGGTCACCGGTTTGAGTCCCAGTCGGGGCACAGGCCTGGGCCAGGTCCCCAGTGCGGGGCGCGCGAGAAGCAACCACACGTTCATGTTTCTCTCCCTCTCTCCTTCCCTTCCCCTCTCTCTAAAAATAGATAAATAAAATATTTTAAAAAATAAGATAGGCAAGAACCAGCTGTACTCAACTCAACAGAAATGTTGAATAAACACATGTAACTTTTGTTTGAAAACTAGTTGACACCATTATCAAATTATAGTTGCAAATTAACTAATTGTAAAAGGCAAACTAAATTTAAAAGTCCAAGATGGTTACCACCGGCTCAAGGAGATACTTCTACTGACCAGAAAAAAAGATCTTCGCCGAGAGGGTGACCAGGCGGCACAAAGAGCAACCCAGCAGCCGAGCCCAGCACAGAGGAAAAGTGGAGAAAGTGCGACAAGTCAAGAGCCATTAGTCCTTGACTCCTAGAACAGCCTCCTCACGCAACCCAGTTGTAATCACCGGGATTCCGTTTCCCCATGTTCTCTATGGTCCAACGGTGAATAGTTTTCATTATCATTCTCTCTCCCTCAACGAGCTGCCCAAGGGTGGGGCCCTGTGATGGTCACGGAAGAGAAGACGAAGTCCACGTGCGGACCCTGCCGGCAGCGTGCAGACCGGCCGTCCGCCAGAGGGGGGACGGGGGAGGAGAGAGAGCGGAAGGCAGGCCACCGCCCGCCTTCCCCCCAGGAGGGCGAGCAACAGGTTCCAAAGTTTGAGGGCCGGGGGGACACTCAAGTGTACCCTCTAGAGTCACGCAAGCGCTGCCTGGGAGACCCAGGTGCACATAACTGACAAAACCGGCCGGGCAGGCGCATATGTGTCTGCCGATGTGTCTCCCCGCCCCCCCCCCCCCCCCCCAGTGCAGCAAGGACAGCGGCTGGGTCCAGGAGGGGAGGGAAAGCGCTCGGTCCAAAGGCCAGCGGCCACCTCCAGGAAAGCGGTGGGGTGGGTGGTGGCGGAGGTCTGCGGAAGGCCAGAGGTTCTGCCTTCGGGCAGCTCCAGGGCTCCGAGGCCGCTGGGCCACCCGCACCTTTGTGCACCAAGAGCCAAGCATCCGCCTGGCATGCCCAGCCCAAGGAACCAGCTCGCGCCGGCCCTGCCTTCTGGCCCTCCGCCAGCCTTCCCCGGAGGACCTCAGCCCTGCTCTCCGCTCCTGGGTGCTCTCCTCCGCTCCCTTCCGTCTCCCACCCGCTCGTTTCAGACGGGCTTCTGCCCTCGCGGTCCAGTCGCTGCTCGTCCCCAGCCCGGCTTCAGCCCCAGCCGGCTGAGCCGCCCAGCAGAGCCCCCTCCGCAGTCCTTCCTTCCGGCCACGCGGACGTCCTGGACACCGCTGCGCTCCGGCCTCACTCCCCCCCCTCCAGAGGCCCTTCTCAGCCCCGTCCCGGCACCCCTGGGGCTTCACTCTGGCTCCCACCAGTTGGTCCCGGCCTTCCGTGAAGCACACGCGTGCCCGGAGCTGCCCTCCTTAGCAGGCCAGAGGCCGTGCAGGGGGAGGCCGTGGCGCTGCCACCAGCCCTCTTCTTGCTGGAGCGAACCCGTGGGAGGCAGGAGGGCCCCCAGAACAGCACAGGCACGCAGTCCTCACAACAGCCATGAGATGGCATCGCCACCCCGTGCTCCAGAGGAGGAACCGCGTGGAGAGGGGCACACCCTCGTGTGGCGGGCAAAACAGCAGCTTACTTGTTCAAGACTCTCAGGTCCTGGAACCCCAACCTCTAAGCCCTCGTCTCCCCAGCCCAGGCCCTGAGAATGCCCTCTGGGCGGCGAACAGGGCTGGTGCTCCCCTCTTCCCCGACAGCTTCCGACCCGCCCTACACGGGACAGCTCCTGGGCAGCTGACCCCGACAGGTCAGAGCGACAGCCCACAGGCTCTGCAAGACGGAAGCGGTGCCGTGGGCCCCGGAGACCACGAGGCCGAGGCGGCCAAGCCTGGACTCACCCGGACGATGCGGATCCTCCCGTGGGCAGTGTCCAGTGTGTCGCAGAAGGCCTGCACCACTGCCTGGAACTCCCGGCTGCTCTCGGCCAGACCCTCCAGCCTGCCCAGGGGCCCCTGCAGCCTCTGCTGCGGCGCTGGCACAGGGCGAGAACAAGGGTCTAGGCCATGCCTGGGGCGTGGGCAGGCGGGTCCCTGCGAGCTGGCCCACCCCGCCCGCCCCCAGTCCCAGGCGCAGACTCACGGGTGGGGCTCGAAGCGTCCAAGGCCAGACTCGGATCCCGGGGGCCAGCCAGCAGGGCTGCTAAGTGGTGGGCCGCACAGGTGGGCTGGACCCCGAAGCCACGGAGGACGGTGCGGTCGTTGTGAAGGGCGATGCTCACACCGTGGCACCGCTCTAGGCGGGCACGCAGCTCTGAGGGCAGCGTGTGGCCCCGGAGCCCCACTGTCTCCTCTCGGAGGTGCACCTCCAAGGCGGCCCCTAGCGCCCGGTCCAGCTCATCCATGTCCTGCTCAAAGGCTGCATGTACCACCAGCTGGGCCTGGCCCCCCGCCCCCCCGCCCAGGAGGGCTTCTTCTGCCTCCAGTGGGTTTGGCTCCAGCAGGGAGAGGGCCAGTGCTTGCCGCAGCGCGGCAGCCTCCTCCTGCTCGGCCACCTGGCCTTGAGGCTCCAGTGACCGGTGGAGAGCCAGCTGCAGCGCAGCCTCCTCCTCCAGCTGCCCAGGCGCCCCGGTGCCGGGGGCTGGCAGCTCCTCCTCGGCCCCGGGTGCAGGCTCCCTCTCTGGCTGCTGCTCCAGCTCCTCCTCCTCTGGTGCCAGGGACAGTCTGTCCTCCCCGGCCAGGCCCTCCAGGGTGGCCAGCAGCTCTTGAACCTCCTCTGGGGACAGAGAGGGTGGCTAGGCAAGGGGTGAAGCCCAGCCGGGGTGGGAGTGCAGAGCAGGGCAGAGGGTGAGGTCAAGAAAGGGCCACAGCTTATGCGAGGTATCCCCAGGGAGCCCTACCCAGTCTCCGGCTCTCCTGGTCACTGCCTGTACTGTCCAGAAGCCACAGAGAGTGGGCCTGGTCAGGGAGGGCCTGGAGGGCCTCAGGAAGGTCCACCTGTCAGGCAAGAACGTTAGGGTCCACTGGGCCCACACCTCTCCCAGGCCCCTGAGCAGCAGTGCAGGAAGCACCAGGCTGAGGTGTGGGAAAGGAGAGGGATGGGGTGGGCTCCAGCTCTACCTGTGCAAAGTCGATGTCCAGACGCTCTGTCCCAAAGACACACTGGAACTGAGCCTCCAGCTCCTGCAGAAGGTGCTGCCCCTCTGGGCCCAGCAGGAACCTGGCACTGCCTGGGTGCTTCAGGCTCAGCACATGACAGTTAATGCTGCCCAGGAGACTTTGCAGAAACTCCTGGGCCGCCAGGCACGGGGCCAGGGCCCCACAGAGCTGCAGGACCGCCAGGGTGGGGGTCAGCTTACGGGTTCGGGGCACAAGAAAGGTACCCAGAACCCCCAGGAAATGGGGCCAAAGGTGAGGAATCCTCAAAGGCTACTCACCCGAAAGCCAGCCGCATCTGCTCCTTCGAGTGGGAAGAGGGCAACCTCCCCCAGGCCTGCCAGAAGGTCCTCGTGGTAGAGCTGTATGAAGCGCATGGCCCCCGGCTCCATCGGCAGCACCGTCTCCACCAGGCCCCCCTGCTCCGGTGAGCCCGCGTGCCCCGCGCGCCCCGCCCCCGCCTGCCCCAGGGACCCCATGGCGACCTCCGCTGAGCTCGCTGGGCCGGGAGACCCCAGAGGCCTCGGACTTGCCAGCCCCGCCTGCCCCGAATACCCCGCGGGCTCTGGGCTTTCCAGCCCCTCCTGCCCCGAATACCCCGCGGGCTCTGGGCTTTCCAGCCCCTCCTGCCCCGAATACCCCGCGGGCTCTGGGCTTTCCAGCCCCTCCTGCCCCGAATACCCCGCGGGCTCTGGGCTTTCCAGCCCCGCCTGCCCCGAATACCCCGCGGGCTCTGGGCTTTCCAGCCCCTCCTGCCCCGAATACCCCGCGGGCTCTGGGCTTTCCAGTCCCTCCTGCCCCGAATCCCCCGCGGGCTCTGGGCTTTCCAGTCCCGCCTGCCCCGAAGCCCCCGCGGGCTCTGGGCTTTCCAGCCCCGCCAGCCCCGAAGCCCCCGCGGGCCCCAGGATGACTGGCCCGGCCCGCCCCCGGGGCCCTATGGGGTCTGTCCTTCGAGGGGCTCCCGACTGGCCGAGTGCCTCCTCAGAGCCCAAGGCCACAGTCTCTACACCCCTCAGTGCCCTCGCTGGCCCTCCAGGCTCCAGGAGGGCATGCCCCGTGGCCTCAGGCCCCAGGCCAGCCAAGGGGTCCCCTCCTCCGGTGTCCTCCGCAAGCTCCTCGGGCTCCAGGACATTGTAGTGGGGGACAAGGGTCAGCTCCAAGCCCTGTAGGCAGTGGTCCTGCTGCAGCACCCGCTCAGCCACTGGGGGGAAGGGAGGGGACAGGAGGCCTGCAGCAGCTGGAGGGATGGGGGTGGGCCAGCTCTGTCCAGCCCCACTCACCCTGCCACTGCCGGAAAGTGACCACGGTGCCCAGCTGCCCCGGCAGGCTGCGCAGGCCCTCCAGGGGGCCCCCGCCACTTCGGCGCTCATTCTCCAGGTACAGCTCCAGCAACAGAGTGTCCACAGGGGAGGCGCCGCCCAGCACACGCACTGCTCGAGCCTGGGGCACCCACGCCAGGGATACCTCAGCCCCGCCCAGGCCCAGGGCCTGGGCCTGCTCCTCCAGCGCCCGGGCTTCTGCGGAGAAGGGGCGAGTTGGCTCGGGGCACCTCCCCTGACAGACACGCCTGCCCCTCCCCGTTCTCACCTGCCTCGGAGAGGGCCTTGGGCAGCTGGACCAGGGCCCTGTCCGGTCGGGGACTGGCCAGGGCACGGCAGGGCTGCTCCGGGTGCCCCGCGGCACGCAGCAGGGCCTGGACGTGCTGCTCCAGGTGCTGGGGCGCAGTGCCGGGGGGCAGTCCCTGGAGCAGCAGGCGCGCGCGGGTGCGCGGCGGGGCGGGCCGCACACTCAGGTGCGTGCCCGGCAGCACGTGCTCCTTCCGGGCCAAGACGCTGGCTGCGTCTGTGGGTGGGGGCGGGTAGGGTGTCAGCGCTGGTGCCCGTGGGGTGCCCAGGCTTCCCTTTCCATCAGCCCCCTCACCTGCAGGCTCCCGAAAAGTGAGTACGCCCCCGTGGCCAAGTCTCTGCCAGCTCAGCACAGGTCCCCCCCCAGAGCGTCGGTGGTTCTCGAAGTAGAGCATGAGCAACTCATCGGGGGTGTTAGGGGACAGCCCGCTGAGCTCCACTGCCGCCCCTGCCTCCTCAGCCTCTGCCATCGCAGACCTGGGGCAGGACCAGGGGAGAGTATCCACCCCACAGTCCCACCCCGCCCCTCCCAGTCCCCTCCAACCCTCCGCCTCCCTCCCCCACGGCATTCCCTGGCACCCTGTCATCCCGGGCAGCCCGCAGCCGCCGCTTACACTGGCCGCTGCCTGCGCCCCAGCCCACACCTTCAGCTGGGACTGGGATCCTGCTCTGAAGGCCGGAGGCCTGGGACTAGAAATCTAAAGTGAAACTGTCTGAGCACAGGAAGAAGGGAGGGGCCTGAGGCCCTGGGCGGGGTGGCTGCTGTGAAGGTGCTTCCTTTCCTACCCTCTGGCCCTCCTGCAGGACCTTCCACCGCACGCAGCTCCTCGCCGGAAAAGAGCCCTCAGCAACCAGGTGTTGGCTGCGCAAGACCAGTCAGTCCAGCCCATCGGCCACATTGCCCCACCCCAGCCCACTGACCCGCAGGGTAGGGGGAGTGGCCCCAGGCAGCCCCCGCTCCCACTGGCCTCTCTCTGTGAACCTAAAAATAGCGAATGGCCCTCCCTACTAAGTCCACCAGGGGGCTCCAGTCACTGTGCCCTACGCAGGCCTCGGTGTTCCCCTCTGCGACAGCAGAAGCCGCTCGGGTCTCCAGGCACGCCCCCGGCTCAGGCTCGCTTTCACCTGTCCCCAGCAACCTCCCCACAGCTTCTCCTCACCCTTCATACTGAGCAGGTGACCAGCTCCCACCTTAGCCTGCAAGTGCTTCCAGCACAGCCGTCCGCGGCCTCCTCTGCCCACTCCCCCAGCTCTCCTTCTGCCTGGGCCCAGTCCGCCCGGCCTAGCCCTCCCGGCTCTCACCGTCATTGCCGCCGTCACTGCCATCGTGGGTGACGCCGGGGCTGCAGGCCTTGCTGCTGCAGGCCTCTGTCGCAGAAGGGGAAATGGAGGCACCGACAGAGGCTGCGGCCGTGCTCACAGCCAGGCGGCACCTCCTGAGGCCGCCTCCCTCTTGCCGCAGAGCCCTGCCCCCACTGCCCGTGCTCCCTCTGCTCCCAGCCTCTCAGGGAGGTGTGCCCTCGACTCTGCTGCCTCTGCCGCCTCCCACATCCCCCCAGCCCCCACCCCTGCTGCTCCACCAGGGGACTGAGGACCTGCCAGGCCTGCACCCCCAGCTGCTCCCCCAGCACCTGGGCCGCTCCCAGCCTGGCCTGAGCCCCATCATCTCTCACCTGGATCGCCACACTAGCCTTCGAACTGGTCTCCCTCTGCCGCCCCTACTCACGCCCACCGTCCCTCCCCAGCAGAGCAGGCAGTGAGAGCCTTGTCAAGGGGCACCCAGCTGCTGCAGCGTGGGCCGTGGTAACAGCCAGAGCCACTCCCAGTAAAAGCCAGAGCCCTTTGGAGGGTCTGCCCGACGGAGCCCAGGCCCCTCCGGGGCCCCCTCCCTCCGAGCTCCCCGGGCTCAGCCGGCCCCGGCCTCTTCTGCCCGTGCAGCCGTCTGCTGCCTCCTCAGTGTCCTCGCACTGGCCTTTCCCACAGAGTCACCTGGCCGTGCTGCCCCTTACCCCACTCTGAGGAGCAGGTTTCACTTGGAGCTAAAAGTCTTTAAGGATCTTATACAGGCCATTTCAAAGGCCCTGACCTCAACTCCATAGTTTCATTTTTTTTTTTTCAGTTTAGCATTTGCTTTCTTTTTTTTTTTTTTAATTAATTTACTTATTTTTTCAAATACATTTGTCTCTGCCTACCCCCCACCACTTTCCCCTGCCCCCTCCCTCGCTTCCTCCCTCAGCTCTTCCCCGTTGGTTTTGTTCATGAGTCCTTATAGTTTCATTTTTTATTGTTTCCTCAAATTGCATGAACTTTCAGTTTCAAAAAGCACAAAACTGCCTGCCCTATATTTCCTCTCCTCGGAGAACTCACCGCCTCCTAAGATGCTGTGCAATTCATCTGCTAGGCCGCTTCCGCTGCAGGGGGCTGCCCAGGCAGCGGGCACCGGAGCCGCTCCTGTCACCACCAGACTCTCGAATCTTCACGGACCAGGTGTTAAACTGCTGGTAGCTTACAATCAGCCGTGCCAAAGGTGCCGGTCACGGCTCCCCCTCGCCAGAGCCAGTTGTTAAACATTGAACCAGCACAGCATGGACACTGGACAGTCTTTTCCAAGCCACTGCAGGGCCAGGGAGGGGCCAACCGTGCCCGAGCAGGAGCACAGTGAGGTCCCCAGGCCTGGGCGGAGAGGCGCGGCAGCCGGTAGTCCCTGGCTGTGGCGGTCAGCGCCTTCTCAGGAAGACCACTGGAGCTGAGGGAAGACCTGAAGCGTCCCGTCCTGGGACGTCTCTGAACCTCAGCCCCTTGGCAGTGAAACGGGGCGAAGGATCGAAGCCGAGCGGCTGTGAAGGTGCCGTGAAGACAGCGAGGATAAAAGGTCTCCTGTGGGGCCTGGAACAGTTTGCTTTCGGTGACTGGTACAGACCATGGCGCAGGTAGAGGAGCAGGCCTCTTGATCTGCCCTAGCCTTGGGTGAAAAGGGAAAGGGGTGCTTTAAGGCCAGGAAAGGATGAAGAGTGTTTGGCACCCTCAGTGATCCCAGTTGGGAATACATTTCTCAACTCCTGGAACCAAACTGGCCTGGCAGACCTCTGCCTCCTGGCGTCTTCAGCCCCCACGGCCCAAGCCCACTCGTCGGCTGGCCGTGTGGGACGCGGGGCTCCAGCCTGGGGCTCGGAAAGGAGCCAGTAGGGCGGCCGCAGTGCCCAGAGGGCACACAGGAGAAGCCCCCTATTACCAGTGGCGGCCCCGCCCCCACCTCCAGGCCCCGCCCACGCCGTCTGGCCCCGCCCCGCGCCCGGCCCCGCCTCGCGCCCGGCCGGGCTCCGTCACAAGGCCCCGCTGCGTCTTCCCAGCCGCAGGCGCAGGCCCAGCCAAGTCGGCTGCGGAGCGGTTGCGGGTTTGGGTGCGGGCGCAGCGGCCATCGACCGCGCGGCCGCGCAGCGGACACTGTGCGCACTGTCCTGAGACGCCCCGCGAGTGGTGAGTCCCCGGCCCAAGCAGCGAGTCTACCTGCTGCGCTGCGGGGCCGGCCGCCTCCGCCCCCGCGCGGACCCTGCGTAGCCGAGCGGCGCCACCGTGGGTCAGTCGGTCGGTCCGGCCGGGACGCGCGGCCCGCTTGGGGCCAGGGCGGTGGCCGGGGGCCGGGGCGGTGGCCGGGGGTCGGGAGGGAGGTGACGATGCGCCGCGGTGGCGGCGGGACGCGCGGCCCGAGCGCCCCCCGACCGGGCAGGAAGGCCCACCCCGCCCTCGAAGCAGGCTCGGTGGCCGCCGCCGCCCCCGTCCGCTGCGCCCCCACGCCTGCTTTGTTTCCCCGCACGCCCTCTGGTCCCTTCCATCCCCCACACACCCCCGCACCCCGCTGTTCCTGGTGTACCCCGCTGACAGGCACCCCGGCAGCCGATCCAGGCCTGCTGTCCCCACCCCGGGAGCGAGGGACCGACGGGCCTGCTCCCCGAGAGGGGTCAGGGCCCTCGCCGTTCACAGATGGCCTGAGGATATCCTGGGATAGAAATAGCCGCCGGCTCTGGCCCCTCAAAGCGGCTTAAGGAGAGGGATGCTAAGGGGAGCGTCCGGGCACACCCCACACCTCCCGACCGCACCCCCAGCCCCGACCCGGCGACTGCGACCGGGAGAGCCCAGATTGGTGAGAAGGCCCTTCCACTTGCTTCTGAGAAACAGCCGGGCCGAAATCCTGAGACTGACAGTGATCTCTTCCTACGCCCCTCCTCCACCTTTGGGGTCGGCCTAGAGCAGCCTCTAGCCAGAAGCCCCAGGCCCCGCCCCGCTGGCCCCTCTGCCCCGGCCTCCCGACCGACCAGAGGCCCAGGTCAGGAATTCCCTTTCCTGCCACCGATTTTCCTCCGGTTTCAGTTTCTGGCAGCAGATGGGGCGGCCAGAGGCTGATTCTGGGTTCTAGTTGCCCCAGGGCTGACTGTTCTCTCTCTCTCCTCTAGGGGGAGACCACAGAACCCGAGGCCATGCCTCACGAGAAGAGTTTCTTGGTGTCTGGGGACAGCTATCCTCCCCCCAATCCTGGATATCCTGGGGGGCCCCAGCCCTCCATGCCCCCCTACCCTGGGGCCTCTTACCCACAACCCCCGTTCCAGCCTTCCCCATATGGCCAGCCAGGGTATCCCCAAGGCCCAAGTTCCTACCCCCAAGGGGGTTACCCTCAGGGCCCCTACCCCCAAGGGGGCTACCCCCAGGGCCCCTACCCGCAAGGGGGCTACCCCCAGGGCCCCTACCCGCAAGGGGGCTACCCCCAGGGGCCATATCCACAGAGCCCCTTTCCACCCAACCCCTATGGACAGCCACAGACCTTCCCAGCCCAGGACCCCGGCTGTGAGTGACGGGGCAGGGGCTGGGGTGGGCAGGGGCTCCAGGTGTCCGCAGGCGACACTGACCCCGCCCATCCCGCCCCTCAGCACCTCAGCATGGGAACTATCATGAGGAGGGACCCCCGTCCTACTATGACAACCAGGACTTCCCTGCCACCAACTGGGATGACAAAAGCATCCGCCAGGCCTTCATCCGGAAGGTGGGCCTGGGGCTGGGCTGGGCTGGGGCAGAGGCAGGGGCTCTGGGCAGGCTCTGAGCGGCTCCTTCCTCAGGTGTTCCTGGTGCTGACCCTGCAGCTGTCCGTGACTCTGTCCACTGTGGCTGTGTTCACTTTCGTCACGGAGGTGAAGGGATTCGTCCGGGAGAACGTCTGGACGTACTACGTTTCCTATGCCGTCTTCTTCATCTCCCTCATTGTTCTCAGCTGCTGTGGGGACTTCCGGCGAAAGCACCCCTGGAACCTTGTTGCACTGGTAACCCCAAAATCTGAGCCCCTGGCCCCCACAGCTCAGCCTTCCCACCCCACGCTCACACTGTCGGCACTGGCAGGGCCGGGGCTGCAGCAGCCCCACCCCCAAGGCCTTGTCTCCCCACAGTCAATCCTGACCGTCAGCCTGTCCTACATGGTGGGCATGATCGCCAGCTTCTATGACACCGAGGCGGTCATCATGGCTGTGGGCATCACCACGACCGTCTGCTTCACAGTGGTCATCTTCTCCATGCAGGTGAGAGGTCCGGGTAGTCACTTTCCCGTGCGCGCGAGGGCCCCCAGGCGGGGCTGCTGGCCTGGCGCCTGGCAGGGCGGGCACCCAGGGGTCCCCTGTGCCCACAGACCCGCTACGACTTCACGTCATGCATGGGCGTGCTCCTGGTGAGCATGGTGGTGCTGGTCGTCTTCGCCATCCTCTGCATCATCATCCGCAACCGCATCCTGGAGATCGTGTACGCCTCGCTGGGAGCGCTGCTCTTCACCTGCGTGAGTGAGGGGCTGCCTGGGGCAGGGGCGGGCCCCGGGGAGGGCGAACAGGTCCCTGAGCAAGGCGTGCTGTCACCACAGTTCCTGGCAGTGGACACCCAGCTGCTGCTGGGGAACAAGCAGCTGTCGCTGAGCCCAGAGGAGTATGTGTTCGCTGCACTGAACCTGTACACAGACATCATCAACATTTTCCTGTACATTCTCACCATCATCGGCCGCGCCAAGGAGTAGCCTGAGCCCTGGCTCGCGCGGGGCCCCACGCAGGTGGCGTGGCTGGCGTGGCAGTGCCATCTGGACCCCCCCTCCCTCTCCCTGGGTGCATCCTGGGACAGAGGAAGCCCCTCTCTGCCCTTCCTGTGTGTACACTGCAGATACTTCTGTTTAGACCCGCTGTGGCCAGCATGGCCCCTTCAAGTCCTCCCACCCTGCCAAAGGGCAGCGAGGCTGCGCTTCTGTGCCACCTCCTGCCCACTCACTGTTGCATGAGCCCTGTCTGCCAGCCCACCCCAGGGAGCAACACCAAGCCCCAGGGGACAGGGGTCGAGCCAAGAGGTGAGGGTGCACGTCTCCCTTTCTGTCCCAGCTCCCCGCCTGGCACAAAGTATCCCCTTCCCCTTCTCACACCCACCCTGGAGTGCTGCCCTCTGGGGGCCCTGAGGGGTGAGGGTCTCGTCCCTGTGCTGAGCCCTGAGGATGGAGAGGATGGGACATTTTGGGGGCGAAGGATGTCGTCCTCTCACCCTGCTGTCTTTAAAATCCCAATAAACGGGGCCCTCTGCTCTCTGTGCTCTTCTTGTCACTCTTCTCAGCGCCCCTTCTTCCATGGCGGGGGCGGCGCGCAGGGCCTCGCCAGGGAGGCAAAGGAGGCAGGCCCCGGCGCTGATGGGGGGCTCGCTTGCACAGGGGTTAACAGCAGTAGCTAATCCTCTAGCCACGCCTACGCCTCCCTTCCTGCAACCTTCGCAGCCACGTCCTCAGGTGTGTGCCAGGATTCCCCACTGATGGGCAGGGACCCCCGAGGCTCCCGGAGGTTAAGCAAGGTACCGGGGTAACATGATGGTAAGTGGCCTGGCCGTGTCTGCCCCTCACTGCTGGGCCTGCACAGTGTGATGTGGGACCCTTACCGTCTTGCCCAAGGGGCAGTGGCCTGAGTCACTGACTGTCCCCGGGCAGGCTGTCGTGCTTCATAGACGCTGTCTCTGCAAGGCCCCCGGGAGCCCACCCTCGGGCACCTGAAGTGCCACCCAGGTCTGACTTGGACAAAGGCCCTCCACATGCCTCCACCCTTCCCTTAAGGAACGTACAAACTAGAGCCCCGGTGGAGAGCTGGACAGGGACCGAGGGCTGAGCCCCCAGCTCCTTCCACGGGCCTCGTTGGCCTCGCCGGCCTCGCCAGGCCCCCGCCCCGTTCAAGGGCCCTCGGCCCCAGCTGGCTCCTCATGGCCTCCTGTGGCTCTCGCTACCGCAGCCCGGGAGCCCTGGCCCGTCCACCTCCTGCCTCCAGGGCGGGTGTTCAGGGACAGCTGGCCCCCCATATCCTCACCCTGGCTCCCACGGAGGGGGCCGCCCAGGCCCGCTCCTCCCGAGGCCCCCGAGGCCCTGAGCCCCCCCCATAGGTAACCCCGGGGGGCGCTCCTCCCTGCAGCCTTCTCCCCGCGGGACCCGCCGTCCAGCCTGACTCGAGCGCCCTCCCTGGGGCTCCTCCACCTTCTCCCTGGGAACCCAGCAACCTCTCTAACTGGCACCATGGCCCCAGCACCTGTGAAGGGACCCACACACGGGGCTGGCGCCCTCCCCCGCCCGCAGGCCCCTCCGCTGGGGCCTGCCCAGAGCCGAGTCCCCCTCCCTCGCCAACCTGCTGCTCCTGCGTCATCTCCATCAACAGTACCCGCCCCGGCCACTCGGGCCAGAGATGGGGCTGTCCTCTCTCCCCGCATTTATCCCGCCCAGCTCCTGTCTCCTGCCACCGCCCCCACCTCCGAAGGCCTGCTCATGCTCACCTGTCAGCGCACCTCCGCCAACCCCGACCTGGCCACCAGGTTTGTGTCCGAAACGCATCACCCCACCTGCCTACTTAACACCCTTTGACGGTTGCCAGTGAGATGAAGTCCAGATTCCTCTCCTAGAACATTGTCCCTGCCATATGTCCTCTGGCTGCTCCGCTGGCCTCCCGCTGTTCCCTCGCCTTCCACCCCCAGGCCTGACCTTGCACGCCACGCACCCTGGGCAGGCCCCCCCTCCCCGGGCTGCGGTGCGCACTGCCTTCCCAGCCCCCTGGGCCCTGCCTGGTGTTCACCTTGCCCTTTGCAGCCACTCTCCAGACACCCTTAGTCACTCGGCTTTGCGCGCGCGCTGCACACTGGCAGGTGGCGCAGCCCCTCCCCCACGTCTCCTGGCAGCTGTCTCCTTCAGCAGAGCAGCTCCTCATCCAGCGAGCCCTGTCCGCCCGAGCTCGAGGCCCGCAGGGCCCTGCAAAGTGTTGGCTCGCAGACCCAGCAGGATTTCTCACTGAGGAGGAAGCACGGAGCATTCACAGGGCTAGAGAACAGCAGTCAAGGCAGAAGGAGGCGCTCAGGCATGAGCGTCAAGCAAAAGGCGCGTGGACGGGATTGCCTCTAGTTCAAGGAGGACAGACCCTGGGCTATGCTAACCCGCGAGGGAGGCCCCTCAGGGACAGCTAGGGCCTGGGCGTGAGGGGCAGGGCGAGGACCCGGAGGCCCCGACCGCGGGAGGGAAGGCCAGGGCCACGTGCCGGCGAGGGCGTGCACCTATCCTGTAGGTGAAGGGGGCTCCAGCTGGGTGTGTGTTGAGGAAGGTGGGCCCAGCAACAGAAAGCCCAGGCAGCGGTGAGGGAGTGAGAGCCGGTGAAGGCAGGGAGCGCGCGGCTGGGCTGGGCCAGAGCAGAGCTGGGAGCAGGACAGGGGGGAGGGACAGGGCATCTGGAGGCAGCGAGCAGTGCTGGGCCCAGGGCAAGGCCGGCAAGGGCATGGCTGTCTGCTGCGACCTACCCAGGGAGCGGGGAAAAGGGTCAACTTCTGATCTGGCAGGGTGGGTGGGTGAGTGGGCAGAAAAGGTGCTCTCGCTGATTCAGGAAACTGAAGGGAGCCCCAGCAACTGTGAGGTCGAGCATGTGGATTCCTCCGGTGAGGACGGAAGCAGTGCCCAACCCCTGGGCGCTGGTCCTATCAGCTAGGCCCGGTGTCCTAGGAGCTGGTGTGTCTCTCAGATAATAGTGTTCTCCGGTTTAGAATATAAGCGACTTCACACAACACCAGCATCAGACAACGCCCCGTGTGGCCCGCTGAGGCAAGACCACCACTCCGTAGTGAAGTCCGCACGCACAAACCATGAGCCCCGTCCAAGCCAGCGAGACCAACAGCGCCCTGCCCTGCCGAACCTGAGCGCTGTAGCCTCCTGGACAGTCCGAGCTGCCTCTCGCCTGTCCTCGTCCCAGAGGTGTGTCAAGACACCCGGTCACAGAGTGACTCCCCTTCCTGACAGCATCCCATCCAGGGCAGGGATTCCTGCTTCCTGAAGCCCTCTGCCGTCCACCCACACAAACCAAGGCTTAGAAAGACCTTCCCAGCACCCCTTCCTGTGGCTCCCTGCAGACCCCCGGCTCACAGTCTCTGTCGCCTCGGACAGCGGTAGCCCAACCTGTTCAACCGCCAGCGTGCCCAGGGGGCTTCTGCTGGAGGGCGCGGATGCAGCTAGCTACCCACAAGGCCGAAGGAGGCTTATTTATTCTTTCATCAAAAATGCTCATTCACAGATGTAATCATCAAGTCCATCCTTGTTTTTGAGATTAAGCGACACAAAGATCCACGTCCTCATCACACTCCCCACCCCGCAAAGCAGCGCTGCCGCCAGCACCGCAGCGAGAGGCAGCCCAGGCCCCCAGCTCGCAGAACGCGCAGCGCAGGCGCCTGGTGTCAGCTGCCCGGGGCCACCACGGAGTGTCTCTGAACGGGAAGTGCCTTCGGAACAGGGACCGTGAGGTGTGCGTTTCGGTGCCCAGGGCCAGGCACACCCGCTGGAGGCAGCTGCAGCCTGAGCTGCAAGAGCCGCACAAGCACTAAGTGTCCCAGGACCGGGGATGGGGAACGCTGCAGGCTCTGGACTTTGGCTCAGCAGCCGCGGAGGCGGTTCAGGAGTGCAGCAGCAAGACTAAAAGCCCGGGAGAACCATGGCGGCCCACCTGGGAGGACCAGGTGAAGGGGAGAGAGGGTACGGGGAGAGCGTGAGTGGCGGGGTGCCAATCATGGTGGGGCCAAGAGTCGGGACTTGGTTTTGCCACTGGAACCTCCCAGGGAAAGGCCTTCTTTGAGTAAAGGCAGTAGGCCAGCAAGGACCACAGTGATGGTGCAGGCAGGGGACCCAGGCCGGGAGCAGCTCCCAAGCAGCGCCTTCCCCCGCGGGCCCAGATGCTACCTCCCAGGTCGCAGGATGGCCTGGCCGTTCTGCTACCGAAAGCATCCTGTTTCCTGAATGTCATCTTTGTCCAGGCTTGTCGGGCACTAGAGATCTTTCAGAAATCAGAATACCCAGAACGTGATGCCCCGCACCACCCGCACGCCCTCCAGCCTCCCAGCTCCCACCTTCACTGCTGAAGGCTACCTCTTCTCCCCGGGTCCTCACTTCACAGCAGCACCCACATCTCTTCCCAGGCCATCACGGCTTCGAAGCCTTTAGGCTCTTGTGCAGCAGCTTTCTCCCTTGAAGCCACGCCTCCTTCTTTCCACTCTGCTCCAGCCTAATTTTCCCTGCACCCAGCAGCTTCCTGGTTCTGGAAGGACTCCAGCACTAGGCTCAAAACCCTCTGCTTACACCATTTGCCATCATGACCCTGGAGCATTTCAGATTCCGTCTTCTGAATGCTGCTCACACTTGTGCCCTTCTCCTGAGCCAAGGCCACGATCGTCTCTGCAGGGGACCCCCAACCCATCCTGGGTGCTGCGGACAGAGATTCCACTCCCCTGCTTTACCTCCTTCAGGGCCCTTCCGTCAAGATGGGCCGAACTGACTACCTGGGGCCCCCCCTCCTACTCTCAACACATAAAATTGCTAGATAAAATATTTTTACACTTTTAAGTAAACATAACCAAGCAGATGTGCAAGAAACAAATGTGACTGGTGACCCCGCAGCCCTGAGCTGCATCTCTGACCCAGAGAGTAAAAGCTACGGGATCTAGAGAGGCTGCACTGAGGAGTCGCAGGACCAGCAGGACCAGCAGGGGAAGGTCCAGCTAGAACCCGAGGGAGAGCCCCACCACCGCCACCACGCAGGCTTCACCTGCCTCAGCCCCGGTGGTTGCCGGTCACCGTGCTGTCTGCCCGGCAGAGGGCAGGGCGAACAATGTCCCGAAGGAGATAACGTCAGCCGGAACCTCGCCAGTGGTTTCACACAGTGTCTATCAATTTTAAACTGTTAGGTATTTCAAAGGGCAAGACAATGTGACTGAAAACCAAGGGGAAAAATAAGTTGACAGAAACAGACTTAGAGGTCACTCAAAGATGGGAGATATCGAAGAAACAGGACTTCAGAGTAACTGTGCTTAATGCATTAAGGAAAATGCAGGGGGAAATGGAGAAACAAGGAAGATAATATGGAGAATTTCCCCCCAGAGAGTTGGATTCCATAAAAGAAATCAAACTGAGCATTCTGAATGAAAAAAAAAAAAAATACAATTTACTGAAAGTAAAAATTCAATAGATGGGATTAAGAGCAGATGAGACAGGTCAGAGAAAAGGATTAATGAACTGAAAGGTGAACAGAAAATACCCAAACTCA